GATATCAAGGGAACTCGGGTAGAGCTCACTGGATCACAGTGAAGAACATTCTTAAGTACCTGCGAAGGACTAAGGACAGGGTCCTTACCCTTAGTGGGAGTGATGACTTGAGAGTAACAGGGTACAGTGACATCATCTTTCAAACCAACAGAGATAATTTCCGCTCTCAGTCGGGCTGGGTATTTACCCTAAATGGAGGGGCAATCACTTAGAAAAGTTCCAAGCAGAAAACTGTGGCTGATTCAACGTGCGAATTAGAGTACATAGCAGCAAGAGAAGCATCGAAGGAGGTAATATGGTTGAAGAACTTCATTGGAGACCTCAAAGTTGTACCAGCCATAAAGGAGCCTATAGAGATTTTCTGTGATAACGAAGGAGCGGTTGCCTTAACCAAGGAACCAAGGGATCATGGTAGATCTAGACTTATCGATAGAAAATATCACTTCATCGGACATCGGGTAGAAGAGAGACTCCTCGTAGTAAAGAGAGTATCGGCAGAGGAGAACCCAACAGATCCCCTCACAAAGGGTATGAGCAGGGTTAAGCACTCACAACATGCGAGGAGCATTGGTCTGAAGGATGATATTATTTTCAGTGATTAGATAGATGTTTAGAAACATGTGATATATAAATGTAATTAACATTTGCTGATTAAATAAAGGAGTTTTATTTATTAGTAAAGTTACTATCTTGTGTCAATTGTTTACTATTGTTTCACTTTTGCATGTTTTACTTCCAGAACAATTAGATTGTTCAAATTATCCACAGTCGATCATACTTTGTGTTGACTTATGTGTCGGGCCCGGTCAGGACTGAATTGATGTGTTTAATTAAGTTCTATGTCAAACGAATCAGAAGTCGGGAAACAAACTACTGGACATTGGGAATGATTATGTTCCATGTCATTGTCCACACGATATCTTGCAGAACAAAGGATTATATGATCCCTTATCTAAAGGACGCGTCATTGACTAGGTCAGAGTTCGCCAACAGCTTTTGAGAGATACAATTGCTAATCGTATTTTCAAGTCATACTTGCAGTTATAGTTATTAGACTTATCCAAGTGGGAGACTGTTGGATTAGGCGTCTAAGCCCATAACTATAATTGGTATGTACTTGACCTGATAGTAGCATGATCCTTTTGGGTTGCCTTCACCATAGCAATTTGATAGGATGAATTATGGAGAAAGAGGTTAATTGTGATTTATTAATATATTATAAGAGTAATATATTTATTGAGAAATCATATTATTTAGATAGTATTGATCAGAAAATAATTTGGAATTAATTTGGTGATCAAAAGAGACTGATTAAATTACGGAGACTGATATTGCAATTATATGATAGTTGCAAGTTGGGCTTATGGATCCCTAGGAAGGGGTAAACGAAATTCTATGTGTAGCCTAGATAGATTTCATCCAAGGGGGCCTTCTGGATGGATCTACTAGACTACTTAAGGCTTAAGCAATCAGATTAGGGTTTTACCTGAAACCCTAGTAGCTCAGCTATATAAGGAACCCCTTGGCTCCTTGAAATCGGCCAATGCATCAAGCAAGAGAACCCTAGCCTATTTTTAGAGCCTCATTCTCTCTCTCTCTCTCTCATATTCTTCCAATTGCTACTTGGTGTTTGTGACTCACTAGAGGTGCAACAATTGAGGCATTAAGCTCTTCAAGGTAAAGATCTACAAGCTACAAGGGAAAGGTATTCATCTAACTTTGTTTTATGTTATAAATCTCGGAAATTGTATGCTAGATAGGGTTCATGCTTTGGATGATTAGAATTGCATGTATAACTTGAGAAAAACCTAGATCCAAAGCATTAAGGTTGCATGTGCACCATATGAATATTGTAGTGCTCAAAACCCATCACTTTTTTACCTTCAAAAGCTTCCAAAGTTGATGAATACTCTGGATCTAGGAGCTCAATCTCAACAAATGCTTGGTTTCCAAGTTTCTTCTTCTTGAATACACACTAAAATGCCATAAAATCACTTCAAAGCTCAAGAACACTCCAAGGGGGTGAACTAGGGTTCAAAGGGACGTAATGAACAGTAGAGGCTAATGAGGGTGAGTGTGCAAAGGCCATGATGTTGTTTAAATATGGTGCATGCCCTAAAAATTAGGGTTTAGTCTTTGGCTACGTACGCCCTGTGTACACCACGTACACCCATCGTACGTGGCTAAGCCCCCCGATCCAAAAGCACGCATGTATATTAAGCGTACCTAAACGTATGCCCAACATATGAGGGGTCCTTTTCGCAAAAAAAAAAAACCTTAAAGGACCAAAGAGGAAAATACCTAGAATCGAATGTTACATGTGGCATTTTTGTGAATATGATATTAACTTAACAAAGGTTGAGTTGTTATTGGGATTAGAGCTATAGATTATTAGTTGTTGGTCCCATGGATGACGTCAATGATGCAACCAAGTCTTAGAGAAGGAGGCTTGATGGGAGAGATATTGAGTGGTAGAGTCTTCTTGCTTGAGTTAGATACATTAAGACTTGTTGATCACAAAGAAAAAGATATAATCAACCTTAATCCGGGGGTGTCCTAAGATTACGCTCTAGTGCCTAAGTTTGGGATGTATTACTCGAGAAAAAGTATGAGAGCTATAAAGAGAAATTGGTAGTGTCAGGTGATACCTTGTATGAAGGAGGTATTTATAGTATTGATAAGGTGATAAGGTACTATTTATGTGCCTCAATCGTGTATGTTTTTTTGTAGGCGATCATATAGATGGTGCGCGACCCTTTTCTAGAATTGGCCGAGACACTTTTGACACCTTCGTTGAGTTCCCAACTTAGTTGTTGTTGCTGGTGTGGTTGTTCTCTCCAATCATAATGTGAAATTATTCGGGCATGAGTGAGGGTGCTTTTTAGTATATGGCCTATTATTATAAAGATATAAGTGAAATAAAATTGTTTAAATGAGACTCATTTATAAATCTTTAAAAGTTTTATAGCAAATGGTATATAATAAAACTTTATGCAATGTGGTGTTGCATCACATGGCACCAGGACGTGCCACTTTTCTAGAATTCTAAATGAGGTGAAACATGGTTGATAGCGTTCGTGATTAGTTCTAATTGTGTGAAAGTCGCCCTAAATATATATTGTGAATTCACACATGTTTATGTTAAGTGCAATACAAATCAAATCAAACCGTTTTTCTGAAGTTGCCTCCCTTTGACGAATTTACCAACATAAACCAAATAAATTATACAATTACTATTTATAATTTAATTCAGCATGTTATGCCTATTTCTTTGAAATCTTTAATTTGTCTTCAAAATGACTAGTGTCCACAATTTTATTTTCGGTTAAAAAAGCAATTTCTATTCTAGAAGACTTTGTACAACAAAACAATATTAATAAACATCATAATATACTTCAAAGGCTCTTCATTTAGATATACACACAACTGTATTTAACAATAAAAACGATGATGGTGATGAGAAGTTTGTTTGTTGTCATGTTGTGAACGTTTGATCATTTTAGTTATTTAGTAAGTTTATAATCCTCATTCCCACCTGTTTTTTACATAATGTATCATTGGTTCATTAGTTGCTATATAGTTGTTTGAAGAAGATAAACTACAGTAAAGACAAAAATAAGTTCTAATGCAAAATTAAAAATAAATAAATCATTACGTTTTATTGACTTAAGAAAAGGTCCAACTTATATATCTACATTGAGAGCGTATCTCTTATTTAGAAGGTTCAGCATCATATTTTTAATTTTGTTTTAAAATAATTTGTACACTATAATAATATATAGATGTAATGTACATCTTAATAGTTATATAATATGATGTATTTCCATATTAACAAAACAATCAAACTAAACAAATGATATATGTGGATGTGACTATAAAATACATCCAAATCTATAAATACATCTTATAAATGTCTCATATGTTTTCTACAAGTTAATATATTTTTGGGAAAATGACTATTGATGGTAACTAACTGTTGCGTTTGTTTTCATTTTGTAAATTTCCTTTTTTTGTACTCAATATACCATCAAACTTGTTGTTTGTGTTTACTATAACCTTTTTGACATGTGATAGCCGGTCAAAGGGTTATGGTGAACACAAACAACAAATTTGATGGTATATTGAGATGAAAAAAAGGAAATTGACCAAATGAGAACAAACTCAAAAGTTGGTTACCATCCTGAGTCATTTCCTCGAAAAGTTAAATGAAATTAAAGTTGCAAAATTATCAAAGACTGCAACCTTCTTTGACCATAACATATATGAAGAGCGTTTCATAGGGGTAACTTCGTTAAAACATGGTCTATGCTATGTTTATTGTGGTTAGCTGTCAACACCTCTTTGCAAAATGATACAACTATGTATGAAAGGTATATTTATCAGCATAAACATTCACCTCAAGGTATATTATAGTGATGTGTCTCCAAAAGCTACATGATATTGTACATATTGATGTTGTATCTTATCCCATGAATTCGATCTTAAAGCTAAGTAAACTCAAAAATCACAACACTTGTAATTCCACTCGTTTGTAGACTTGTCTAGAATCCATGATACGATAAATCATTTGACTGGAAATGTAAATGTAGTCATAAATGCACCTGCTTGGTCAAGGTTCCCCTAATAAATATTCAAGTTCATTACAAAGTTGTACATGTATGAATAATGTTTTTTCGTGGGTTATGTTTTGAAGAGAAACAATAATGAATCTCATAAAATCATTAAACCAACAGGAAATGACATGTGATTTGCTGTAAATGAGTAAAAGGGAAATGAATTAGGAGTGTAACCAACTGTTGCATATATTCTCATTTGGTCACTTTTTTTTGTACTCAATATACCATTGAACTTGTGATAGTCGGTCAAATGGTTATGGTGAATACAAATAACAAGTTCAATGGTATATTAAGTACACAAAAAAATGAATGAGACCAAATAATAACAAACACAATAGTTAGTTACTCTCAAGAATCATTTTCCGTATATTTTTTTCTTATCGTATGAACCTGGTGAGCAAAAGTCGAGGAGGTATAAAGATATAATATTGCAAAATAATTGTCTACAAATAAAAAAAAAAAGTTTATTAAAATGTTGTAAAAACTATTTCTACCTTGCATATACTAATATTTGCAATATCTTAATTTCATCTTTTCTTAATGTACAAACAAACATATGAATTCCAAATTATCTGAAGCTTTAATGAACCATATTTTAATGACATAAAAGTATATATATGTGTATTATTTTTTCCAAAGGGGTGCTTTACGACAGTGGTAACAAAAAGGCATAACGGAAATAAAAAATAATTTGGGTGGAAATTGTTTCTGGATCATGATACAGTCGATCCTCTTCTTCTTCTTCAAAACAATCCATCATCTCCTTACTCCTTTTCTCCGACTCAGACGCCGTCCACCTACCGCCGCCGTGTTCGCCACCCTCTCCACCGACAAATAGAAAGCCTACTGTCTGATTTCCTGTTTTATCTTTTTCTATTTTATCAAACTATCTGCTTCGATTTGCCGCCAGTCAATCCGCGCCTGTTCGACGATCAACTGGCGATCGCATCATTTGGTACTTCCTCCCCCCTTTTTCTTATGTTACGATGCTTTTTTGTACTTGATCTGCTTGCCTGGGAATCCATTTCACATCTCATCGTAAAATTCATGCCCGAATCTTTGTTTTTCTTTGTAATGTAATTTCTAATTCGGATGTTTTTGTTCAAACTTTTCAAAATTAAGAGCGTATCTCTAGCTTCGTCGTATATACTCCCTGGAAATTTGATTTGTGCGTTTGAATTTTGAACTCATGATGTTTAGGTCATGGTTTTATCGGAAAACCTATGTTACAAAACTTGGTTTGAAGACGATTCAGTCGATAGTTCTGTTTCCAATGTTCGATTATATATATTCCAGAGTGTAATTTCTGGTCATGGAGACAAATTAGAAGGTTTTACGATTGATTGATTTGCACAAACCTAAAATCCGAATGCTACTCATACAATTGATGCTTCCATACATATATTAATCATATAAATCAACATTCAACAGGTTTTTCTTGGATTATAAACATATGAATCACTTCTATCTCCCATTTCCTTTACAGCTAAGGTGAAATTTGGATTGCCACTGTCTTTTACATTCAGTTCTTTTCGCACTGTAAAAGGCATGCAGAACAGTGGCAGTCTTCCCAAGAGCAATTCCTTAAAAACCCCTCAACAATCACTTCGTCGCCTCAACTTTTGCTCTCAAATATCAACTGGTCAACAAACTTCTCCTGTTGTCTTCCCTGAGAAACGTACAAAAGGAAAAGTTTCAAAACGAAGTGATGTCAGTGCCAACAACAATGATTCCAAGAATTCAAAGAGGGAAGAACACAAGATTGATATTGGAGATGAACAATCTGACTTACTGGGATACGAGGTCATTTCTGGAAAGCTAGTTTTGGATAAAAGAAAGACCATCAAAGCTACTGATTCACAAAACTCAACAGAAACCTCACACCTGGATTCCATTGATGCTAAACTAACAAGCAGAGCTTTGGTTTGGGGTTCTCATGTTTTAACCCTTGATGATGTCATTTCAGTAAGTTCAATTATTTGTTTTCGTGCAATTTGAAGTGAATATCAATGCAATTTACTCTCCTTACCAATATGAGCAATGCACTTCATTTTTTACCAATAACAGCAATATAATTATACTTTTCTAACAATCAATGATTATTATGACAGGTGTCATACAGCTATGGGATGAGACATTTTATAGTACATTCATACCCTATAAAAAAGCGATCCTACAGTCTTTCTTGTTTCTTGAAATCTGGAAGAAGTAGGAAAGATTTTTGCTTTTTAGCTTCTACACCAGATGAAGCTTTTCAATGGGTTACAGGGTTTGCAGATCAGCATTGTTTTGTGAATTGTTCACCTCACCCTATGGTATCTTCAAAGAAACAAGATTCTGAAATATTGGCTACTGATTTTTCTTATAGACATATTAAAAGTAAAAGTCCACCTAGGATGCTTGTTATCTTAAATCCTAGGTCTGGACGTGGTCGCTCCAGTAAAGTTTTTCACAATTTGGTTGAACCTATATTTAAGGTATTTTTTTATTTATTTATAACCTTTAATCTTTTCCAACAACATTTTATATTAGACTTTTACTTAATTGACATTTCTTTTCTTTACTTAACAGCTTGCAGGGTTTAAGCTTGAGGTGGTGAAGACAACATCTGCAGGCCATGCTAGAAATCTAGCTTTCAGTGTTGATTTCAGTACATGTCCTGATGGTATGCATTTTTTACCAAATTGCCCTTTTTTTTTTTAATTGGAGAATAGTTTGTTAATCTTTAAGCTTTCATTATACCAGGAATTATATGTGTGGGAGGTGATGGAATTGTGAATGAGGTTTGTATAGCTTTTAATTTGAAATGAGTAGATATTTATTTATATTAAAGTTTATAAAATGTTATTTATTTTGCAGGTTTTGAATGGTCTTCTTTGTAGAGATAATCAGAAAGAAGCAATTTCAATTCCAATTGGAATCATTCCTGCTGGCTCTGATAATTCTTTAGTGTGGACTGTTCTTGGAGTTAGGGATCCAGTTTCTGCTGCTTTAGCTATAGTCAAGGTAATAATAATATATCATCATTATTATTATTATTATTATTATTTAAAGAATTACACAATTCAGAGAATACATGTCTAAAAAATTAGGCAGCCTTAAGGTTTGTTAATGGAATCACAAAGGAATGGAATCGGTCATTCATTACATTCCAATTCCATCATCATAATTTGGTTGACTAGAAAGAATGGAATGACTCATTTGTCTAGAATAAGAAACTAAATAAATTTAAATCGAAAAAAGGTTATTCCATAAAAATAAACTTTAATCAAATAAAAATATACTTTTATTTTCCAGGGTGGTCTCACTGCTACAGATGTATTTGCTGTCGAATGGATTCAAACCGGTGTCATTCATTTTGGAATGACCGTTTCCTACTTCGGTTTTGTTAGCGATGGTAATTCCCAATTCCATTCCTTCCGTTCCCCCTTTTGGGATCACACAAAAAGACATGACATGACATAACACACTGTACCTCATCCCCAAAAAAGTCTTGCATAACAGACTGTTGTATTGTGACATGACATGACATAACAGATTGTATTGTAACATGACATGACATAACAGACTGTATTGTGTTGTGACATGACATGACATAACTGTATTGTATTGTGAAAGACATGACATAACAGGCTGTACTGTATTTGATTGTTAAACAGTATTGGAACTATCAGAAAGATACCAAAAGAGATTCGGTCCGCTCCGTTACTTTGTGGCAGGAGTTTTGAAATTCCTCTGCTTACCAAAAATACACGTATGAACTCGAATACCTCCCGGCATCCAAACAAAAATCGGATCTCGAAAGAAAAATATTAGCAGAGAAAGACACAGTCGACATGTCAGACTTATACACAGACATCATGAAAAGATCCGAAGGAGGCGGAATCCCACGCGCCTCATCTCTCTCAAGCATCGACTCCATCATGACACCCGGGCGGACCCCACTCGAACCAACCGACACAACCACCGAACCCTCCGATTACGTCCGAGCCATTGACCAAAAGTCAAAGCGGTTATCCTCAGGTCGACCCAACGTCACCTCCGAACCCGAAGTCATCCAAACCTCATCCACCCCGAATTGGCCGCGAACCCGGTCAAAGTCCCGGGCGGATAAAGGGTGGAGCGGGTTGACCGACCCAACCCGTTCGTCATGGGGGAATTTAGGGGGAAACGACAAGGAAGATATTTCGTCTACGATGTCGGATCCGGGCCCGATTTGGGATACCGAGCCGAAGTGGGACACAGAGCCGAACGGGAATAATTGGGAGATGGAGAATCCGATACAGTTGCCGGGCCCTGGTCCTGTTATGGGTGTGGGCCCGGCAACTGAGACCGGGGTTGGGGTTGGGGTTGTGTTGGATTTGGAGGAGAATTGGGTTGTGAAAAAAGGAAAGTTTTTGGGGATTCTTGTGTGTAATCATTCGTGTAAAACGGTTCAATCTTTGAGTTCTCAAGTGGTGGCACCGAAAGCCGAACATGACGACAACACGTTGGATTTGTTGTTGGTTCATGGGAGTGGGCGGTTAAGGTTGTTGAGATTCTTCTTGCTTCTTCAAATGGGACGGCATCTTTCGCTTCCTTATGTTGAATACATCAAGGTTAAAAAAAGTTAACAATGTATTTAGTGTCCTACTGACAGACTGATATTGATACCGATATTGATACTGATGTTGTAGGTTAAGTCGGTGAAGCTGAAGCCGGGAAAGAGTACGCACAATGGATGTGGGATTGACGGGGAGCTTTTTAGGGTGTCGGGGCAAGTTGTGTCGTCGTTACTTCCGGATCAATGTAGGCTGATTGGTCGTGCTCCGAGTAGTAGTGTGAAAGGACTATAATGCCCTTTCGCAGGGTTTGGGATGGGTGTTACATATATATATGAGGTGACTGTATAATCTTCTGGCTGTTATTGGTTTGAATTCTTCTTGTTGATTTTTTGTTTGTTTGTTAGTATTTTGGTCTTTTTTATATATATAATATATATGATATATATAAATATATATACTTTTGTATCTATTGGTGCCTAGAGTGCAATCTTTTTTTTTTTTTTTTTTTTTTTTTTTTTTTTTATGGATGGAAACCGATATTTTGGAGTTTATTTGAATTGGTTGATGTGGATGTGTATTGTAAAGCATTTGTAGAGTTTTTAGTGTTATTATTGTTTTCAGTTGCTGGCTGTTTTTTCTTTTTTCTTCAAAGATTGTTGGATTGAGTAAATTGTTTAACTAATTTTTCTAAATTTTGTTATAGATTATAGGGAAAATTCGATGAAAACCACTGCGCTTTGTTTAACTGGTGATATTTTTTTAACCTTTAAAAAAATCACTACATAGAACTTTTTATGAAGAGTTTGAAAAGTGTTTTGCGTCACTTGAAAATTTTCTTTTCGATTTAGCCATCAAAAGTTAAAAAAAAAAATATTAATTTATAAAGAAACCATTTTCATTGAAAAAATAATCTTTGTTATTTGTAACTTACTAATGGAAAAAAAAAAAAAAAAAAAAAAAAAAGACAAAATTGCAAAAATGGTCCCTGTGGTATGCATTTTTTTGGAGTTTTGGTAAAAAACACGAGTTTTTTGGTTTTGTAGTCCTTTTGGACTGGTTTGTTTGTGAGAATGGTTCATATACTTAACATCCGTTAAAAAGAATCTGTTAACCCCCTCATGTGCCTTGCACGTAAGGGTATTTATGTCTTTTTACTTACAGGGACCATTTTTGCATACAAACGTAAACGCTTCCTTCTACCTTTTATCCCTCATTTACAATCCTAAACACCCGTCAACTCCCCACCTCCCTCCTTCTTCCTTCTGCTCCATTAAATCTGCAAAAAAACATATTTCGTTATCCAAAAAACCTAATCAAAGCAAAAGGAGACAATGTCATACTTTAAAGTCGAAATGGTGTACGTAATGTGGCAGATCATACCAAAAAATGAAGTTGTCGACGTATCATCCTTATATGGTAAGTTGCTCTGTTTTCTTAAACATTCCTATTTTTCATTTTACCCTTGATTTATACTAAAATCCGCCAAATTTTGACTTTGTTATCATGTACAATTTTGACTTGTAGCGGGTGCACCCACATGGTTTAGTATTAAACTTCATCATGGTGGGAAGTTTACTAAGTTACCTGACATAAAGTATACTGGAGGTGAAGTGCGTTATGTTGATTATGTGGACATAGATGAGTTTGACTGATGAATCCCAGTGATATACTACCATTTCAGGATACCCAATGGTGACTTTCAATTTGGTCTTAGAGCTTTAGGCAATGATCAGGATGTTATCAATCTTTCTAAATTTATTCAAAATAACAAGTTGATTGAGGTGTATACAGAACATGGGAAGGCAAATCTACTCACATACTTCATGTCTCCAAATGCAAAGGGTAAAGTTGTCATAGAGGAATTACTAGAAAATGATGATCAAGGGGCTAAATATGAGGTTGAAATTCATGTAGAATCTCCATTGAGAAATATGAACCATGTTAATGATGAGCCAATTGGTGAGTACATGTCTTTGATTCTTTTTGGGAGTAAAACTGATGTATTCTCTCCAGAGTATAGAAGGGGTAGAGTTGGGAATTCAAAAAGAGAGGAAGGTTCTTGTAGCAAGAGGCTTAATTTAGAGGATATTGATGATTTAAAAGAGAAGGAAAACACTAATGAGGGTGTTAAGGAGGTTCATGAGGCTGCAACTGTTGTTGAAGGATGCTATAATCCATTTACTTCAAATATTGCTAATGTAGGGGATGAGATGATTGGGGTTCATGATAATGACCATATTGATGGATTCTACAACACCCCACCTATTAATGATGATGAACAATATAATGAGCTTTTTAATAACCTTATGGAAAATTTAATTGGAAGTGATGAGAATGTTGAAGAGTATGAAGGGGATGATGAATCTGAAGAGAGTGATGAAGAGTATGAAAAGGATGAAGGTGATGATCATGATGGGAAACAATCAGAAAATGAAGATAAAGTGGATGACATAATGGATGAGGAGAACAATAAAGAAGATGTTGATGTGGACATGGCAGACTTCTTTCTAAATGTTGAAAGTGATGTTGAAGGAGCATGTATTAATGGTGGTCATGAACCTGAAGATATGGAAGTGATCAACAATGAGGAGTTTGAATCATTGGATGAAGGATCAGACCAAGACAGAGAAAAAAGAGCTCCCATAAAAAAATTTGGGAAAAGAAAAAAGGTGCAGCCTTGGGTCAGTACATATACAATCATTCTCAGTGGGGCAAAAGTTTAAAAGTAAAAAAGAATTAAATGAGTTAATTGATGTGCATGCACTAGAAACAAGAAGGAATCTATTCTTTAAAAAAAATGACAACCAAAGGCTTAGGGCACAGTGCAGAGGAGTTGTGCCTGTCATCAATAAAGATCAAGTGGGGACTCAACCTACCACTTCAAAAAGCAAGGGCAAAGAAGTAAATACACAAAAGGAAACAGGTGGTTGGTATATACATGCATCTAGGTCAAACCCCGAATCTGACTGGTTTATAAGGACCTTAAACCAAACTCATACATGCTTACAAACAAGAAAACTCAGAGCTTGTACTGCTTCTTTAATCTGCAAGAAAATCATAGATCAAGTTGAGGCAGATCCGAAGATTCCTTTGAGAGCCATACAAGATCACTTTCAAAAGACCTACCAGGTGGGTATTTCGATGGATAAGGTGTTTAGGGCAAAAGATATGGCAAGAAAGCATGTAACTGGGGACTACACAAAACAGTTTGAGTTGTTGAGGGACTATGCTCTTGAACTTCAAGCTACAAACCCAGACACAACAGTCAAAATAGATGTGTGTCCTAATGGCAACCCTGCATCCCCAACAAGGCAATTTAGAAGGATTTATGTATGCTTGGGTCCACTGAAAAAAGGTTTCAAAGCATGTCTTAGAGACTTAGTAGGTTTGGATGGTGCCTTCATGAAAGGCCCATTCCCTGGTCAGGTTCTTACAGCAGTTGGTCTAGATTCCAACAATGGAATTTATCCCTTGGCCTATGCAATTGTTGAGTCTGAAAACACAGCTAGCTAGAAGTGGTTTTTAGAAAACCTTAGGGATGACTTGGAGCTTGGGAGCAACTCAAACTATACTTTCATAAGTGACAGGCAAAAGGTAAATTACAATTCATCAATTGATCATTTAGATTGTGTTTTTTTTACCAAGAAATTAAGTCTAATTATTGTATGTTGAGTCATGTATGGATTACAAATTGCAGTTGATCAATTGTTTCCCAATGCTGAGAATAGGTATTGTATTAGACATATTCATGACACTATAAGAAAGAAGTGGGGGCAAACTGAGTACAGGGACCATTTATGGAGGTGTACATCAGCAACCACCATTCCTGAGTTTGAACATTTGATGAAAGAGTTTAGTGAGTATGATAAGGAGGCATGTCAATGGTTGAAGCAGATTCCTCCTGTACATTAGGCAAGGAGTCATTTCTCAGGTAATTGTATATGTTTGCATATGGTAATGATTATGTGTTTCAGTTATTTATCAGCATTAATTGTATGTTATTGTAATGTGCAGGAAGAGCTGTTTCTGATGTGTTGATTTCAAACATGTGTGAAGTGTTTAATGGGAAGATAGAGAAAGGCAGGGACAAACCTGTAATGTCATGTTTAGAGTTCATTAAGGAGTATCTAATGAAGAGGATATGCAATGTCATGAAGGCAATGAAGAAGGCTAAAGGTCCACTAACACCTACAGTAACAGACATCCTAGATGCATAAACCAACTTGCACATAAATACATCTTCAGCTTGAAACCTTCATCCTTCAATGCATCACACCTTGCCTCCAACATGTTGTTCCTGCTCAAAAGTCCATTGCACTGTTCCTGTAACATGTTGATACTTCTTACCAGCCCATTACACCATTCCTCCAACGTATTTATGTTTCTTAGAAGACCAGGTATGATGGTTTTACTCCTAGCACACATAGGCGGGTCAACCCACCCGATAAACCCACAAACAGAATCCTTGGTAGGGCAAGCATAAAACCTCCTGCCGGGATTCAGTGGTGTCCAAGACGTTTTCACCAAAGCAAGCTTTCCACAAAAACAAACCACCATTGTTCGATTGCAAGTCAGGAAAGAGAAATGGAAGAAAATAGCCGTTGGGGAAGAACAGTTAAGAACGTTGGGGAAGAAGATTTGTTGGGGAAGAAGCTGGGAAAAGAAATCGATATATAAAGGATGTTTTATTTTTCCATATGCAAAAATGGTCCCTATAAGTAAAAGGACAGAAATACCCTCACGTGCAAAGCACATGAGGGGGTTAACAGATTCTTTTTAACGGATGTTAAGTACAGGGACCATTCTCACAAACAAACCAGTCCAAAAGAACCACAAAACCAAAAAACTCGTGGTTTGGACCAAAACCCCAAAAAATTGCATACCACATGGACCATTTTTGCAATTAAGTCAAAAAAAATATATGAAATGGTTTCTTTCAAAAAATACAAACTATAGGTGATTAAACTATATATATATATATATATATATATATATATATATATATATATATAGGGTTAGGTTCATGTGAGACGACCTAATTTTGTGAGACCGTGAGACGCATTTTGTTTTATTTTTTTTTAATTTTTTGTTATTTTTTTAGTTAATTCAAGTTCCGAAAATCATATTTAAAAAAAGAGTTTTTGGATTTTACCATTTATTTTGCATTTTAAAATTATTTTTTAGAATATGTACAGTGTAATATTCTATTAGAATATTTCACGTATTTAAAAAAAAAAATAGAATTATTTATTTATTTATTTATTTTTTATTTTTTTAGTTAATTCAAGTTCCGAAAATAATATTTAAAAAAAGAATTTTTTGATTTTTCCATTTATTTTGCATTTTAAAATTATTTTTAGATTTGGCCTCACGGTCTCACAAAATTAGAATGGTCTCAAATGAACCTAAACCTATATATATATATATATATATATATATATATATATATATATATATATATATATATATATATATATATATATATA